GTTATTGAACTATCACCTCAGTGAAAATTAGTCATTGAATTATGTTTTTGGTAAAATAAGTCTCTAAATTTATTAAAAATTGCTAATTTCATCCCTACTATTATATTAAAAGCTAGGTAAATTACATAAAACTACTTCAACTATGGGTCGAACCACAATCTCATACCTTATGTTTTAAAATTACAATGTCATACCTCACCTTACGAATTTGTTGCAATGTCAAACATCCTTCAATTTGTCTTTTAAATTTTCTGTTAAATGCTCACCCCCTTGTTCAATTAGATAAAAATATTAATAAATTAAAGATAAAATTATTTAAATATTTTTGTAAAAACAAGTGGAACCTACCCTTTCTCTCTCTCCCCTCTCTCCTATCTCTCTCACATGTCTTCTTTCTCTCCTCTCTCTCTCTCTCTCTCTCTTCTTTCTTCCTCCATTCTTTCACCTTCATCTTTCACAGAAATTTAAATCGGCTGAGAGAAAAAAAAATTCACCACTCTCCTCCCCAGAAAAATTTCACCTTCATCCTCCAAATTTCACCATTCTCCTTCTCTCTCCCTAGAAAAAAGAAAGAATTTTGAACCAAAAAAAACCCAATTTTTTATTTTTTTATTTGCAAGAGGGTCTGTTGGGCCTGGGGACAGGGTTGAATTTGGGGACAAGAGAGTGGGTCTCATTCCAAGTCACGTCAGCATTTAACAAAAAAATTAATAGACAAACTAACGGAGGTTTGACATTGCAACAAATTTGTAAGATGAGGTATGACGCTGTAATTTTTAAAACATGAGGTATGAGATTATGGTTCGGCCTGTAGTTGAGGTAGTTTTGTGTAATTTATCCTAAAAGCTATTTTATTCAATTTTTTGTCAACTTAAGTCACTTGACATATTTTAGAGTGTAATACCATCATTCTCTCGCCGATAAGCCCTTACCATTTCATATAGGTTGTGAACCTAACATCTAATTTACCCTCTAAAATTAACTCCATACACTATTTCTTTATGAAAAATTGGCAATCTACCCTCTAATGTGTATCGTATGCTAGTAACATGACTTAAATTGACGGAAGATTGAATATAGTAGCTTTGTATATAATATTAAGGATGTAATTGGGAGATTTTTATAATTTAAGGGCTGATTTTTCTGAAAAAAATAGTTTAAGGACCTAATTTTTACTCAAGTGATAATTCAGGGACTAATTGACAATTCAACCTATAAATTAAGAATGTTAGAAACTTAGTGTGGAATAAAAATTGAAACCAACCAACCCAAACTAAAAATCTTGGTAAATCGAACTGAATTAAACTGGTCTTTTATGTGGTTACATAAAAATAAGGAAAACTAATGAAAAGTATTTGAAAACTTTGAGTTTTAATGGTAAGAACAAAATAAAAGGTAAAGTAAATAGTATCAGGATTGACTTTTTAGTATAAAAATGTGGTTGTTCGTTAAAATGAACAGTATCAATAGCTTTTCATTAAAGTTCTCTTTAAAAATATCATTAACGGCAATAGACGTTTGGTCAATGGTTCAATCCTTGACCAAACGAAATCGGGTCTTGTCCACCCATATTTATGGGCATCCTGAGAAACTTCGTTGAAATTTCCTCAAAATTTCAGTTTAGGAAAGTTACCTCATTACAGATTTAATTCAATATGTTGAGATTTCCTTATTTATTCCAATTCGATATTTCCGTCAAGAGAATTGTTATTAGCACTCTAAAAATTTCATTCTACACTCCTCACAAATGTATTTTTCTTTCTAATTATAGAAAGTTTGGAATGCCAAATGAGATTTTTGGAATGCTAATAATAATTTCCTACCGTCAATGTCCATATTAATAAATTGGTTGTGAGAACTTTTTCTGATAAGATTTTCGAATTTTTGAGATTTCTAGGATTTGGAAAAGAAAAGAGGCGCACTAAAACCCTAGCGATTGAAGTCTGTCCTTGGTAAGCTCTCTGTGATTCAAATTCCTCATCCAACATAGCTCGTACAGTAAGGTAATTACATCCAAGTATGAACCTGTGTTTACTAAAATTTAGTGCTATTCGTATTTCAATCATTAATTTAGGGATTCATTTTCAACGTTTAAGTATTAATCTCAAGGACCAAGAATTCTCAATGAAATTTCCTTGTTTTGAAGCATAATTCTAAATGATTTCGTCGATCCACACATTTTTGTTATTTGGTATTCACTTCTAAGTAATTTCCTAGATCTGCAACTTACCTTGATATTTTTGTTTTTGGTGAGTAGATACAACTTTGTTAAGATGTTGTGTTTGATATACATTTTACTCAAACAAATTTGAATAATTTATCTCCACTTATGTCGATATTTATTTATCTCCATAACCATGATAGTTATGACAAGTTCAATGTTTAATTAATAGATCTTTTGTAGATTTTTTGTTAGAAAGGGCCCAGTTTCAGAGATTTTTAGCTAGATTTGGGGGTTAGAAAAGAAGGGCACCTAATGAAGCAAAATTGGTGATGGAAGGGTGGATTGGTGAAGTTTGGTTTGTTTACGGCCTCAAACAATGGAAAGAACCAATCTTGTTTGTTTGATTTATCATTTAATTATGGCTCAAACATTAGTTCAATTCAACTAAACCACTCATAAGCAGGGACATTTCTGAGATTTTGAGGGCTCTGTGTAGAAATTATATAAGGGCTCTTTTGCTCGTGATTGCATTATCTCACAAAAGCATACTAAACCAATAAAAATGATCATATATTAGTATCATAATTAAAAGAAATTTTGTAACTAAAATTATGTGATCAATCTACAAAATCATTAGTGGACATGTAAAAGAAGTCATGAAACAAAACATAAAGATGAATATAAAAAAGTAGAAACTAGAAACACTAATCCAAATTGCAAAAACAATAATCATGGTAATACCTAAATTAAAGGCAGCCTTTAATCTTCAATAACAAATTATATTAAGGCCTTAATCTATGTATCTCTCTTCATTCTATCTGCCCAAACAAGAAACAAAATAATCAAATCTAGATCCTAGATTTGATTAATAATATATTAACTACCACTTAGTACTACGATCTAATGATATTTTTTCTTATAAGTGAGAGGTCTTAGGTTTGATTTTCGCGTAAGGCGAATTCGAATCATATTATTACTAGGTCATTGTGAGGCTTAGCCCACTTCCTCACCTCCATTCGTATAGATAATATCTTTTGTACCGAAAAAAAAAAATCCAAAATTTGGGGCCCTTTTGCAGTTGTGGGGCGGGCGGGGTAGGGGCCTCTGCAATTACACAAGTTGCTCCCCTTCAAAGCCGGCACTGATCAAAAGTAATTGGTTCAATTTGGTTATTGTGGGATCATGATTTTGCGGATTTGGTTCCAACAATTATATCCTATTATACATTCGTAAGGTTCTAAAAAACGCTAGGCGCTAGTCGGGTGGCGGGCTAGCGCCTAGGCGGATTTAGGTAAATTTCTTGTATATCTTGTAAATAAGTGCATATTGAAACTTACAAAAAATTATACTTGTATTAAATCCATGGATAAGATAATAAAAGAATGATAAAATGCAAAAAGAGTATCCAACAAGTCCAAAATTTAAAAACACATTAAGCATATATGCCATATAACCATAGTGAGGAGTATTATAGAATGACACATGTACAACAAATTCACAATTTAAAACAACATAAAATGGAAAATAGGAGGAAAATAAGGAAATTTAGTAATGTAAGATACTTATCTTTAGCATCCCGGAATTTAAGTTGATACACAACACACCTATTCTATAAAATTAACAAAATTTCAAGGTATAATTAGAACTTAGACTTCAAACAAATTTCACAAAAAAAAAAACCACCCAACCGCCTAGAGCCACCTCGATTTTTCCAGCCGTTTTGCACAAAATCGCCTCAGTTCCAAGACGCCTAGAACCTAGACGGCCGCCTAGGACATTTTTTAGAACAGTTATGCGTACACCATGGTTTAGGAGATAAATTAGACAAAATTTAAGAGAGAAATCAAATTCGAATGAGCTAGATATTTTACTATTAATATATTGACATCAAAGTGCATGGGAGATGAGCACAACAACAAATGGTGGCAACAAACAAAGCAAACTGCGCTTATCGCAACGACATCTTTCAAATTATAATTGTTTGTCATAGATACACAGATGATCTATATCCTTATTTTACTAACCGATTCTTTTCATCTAATTTTCAGTACGTAGAGAGTAGACAGGATATGAATATGGACGATAAGAAAGGTGGGGCAATCAGTGAAACAAAGGTGGCCGAGGAGGAGGTTACAGAAAACTCAACACGACCAAAACGCAAAACCTTCTGGACTGAGTGTGATCAGTGCAGGATACCATTTGAGTATTTCGACAGATATTTCCTTGGTCACCGTTTCAGATGCAACGGCTGCCGAGGAATATTTGTTGCTCTAGAAGTCGATCCGCCATCTACTCAACGTAGCCGTAATACTGGAAAGCGAGTTCGTCGCGGCAGCAGAATTAATTGTTTGGACCGCTGATATTCAGGAATGCAAGATGCTTCATCGAAACTTAAATTACAATGCGGAGAAACCTTTTGAGCATTTACTCTTGCAGTCAAGGTTAAATAAATTTTCGGCAAGCCTTACATGATGAGGGGATGATAAGACCTGGTTTAAGATTTTAATTTTATTTATGAAACATGATTTAAGATTGAACCAAAAGTGATGAATTGGTTTCTTATTCATTGGTTTACATTATACTTTGATGGAAGAGATCCGGAGTGGATCCTTTCCTTACACTTTGACAAACAGGCTGACTATTTTTGGTTATTGGATATAAAATTTAAAACGTCTATCATGCCTATTGAGAGATTTTTAGTGCGTCGGGAACGCGAAATAATACATCATGTGATATTATACGAGCAGTAAAATACTTGTATTAAAAAATAAAATTTCCTTAGTAACAGTTAATCTAAATGTGTCCGCTATTTGAGGGCTAATGTCAAAGCCACAAAGCAACGGTTTGTTAAGTTCAATATTTATATTTGCGAATCAGCGAAACCGTCCAATCAATCAATAATATAAACTCGCACCAAAGTCTACGCCAAGTACTCGATCGTAATATCGAACAATGAACCCGCCACCGCCCGTACACATCCAACTCTCCTCCCCGGGCTTTCCGCCAGCCACCACGATCACCCCAACACCTGATGGGACCCACCGCAAGGTCGCGATCGCCGTTGATTTAAGCGAGGAGAGCGCCTTCGCCGTCCGATGGGCCGTCCAGAACTACCTCCGACCCGGGGACACCGTCATCCTCCTCCACGTTCGACCCACCAGCGTGCTCTACGGCGCCGACTGGGGATCCGTTGACCCCAACGACGCCGTCTCCTCCTCTGAGTCGCAGCAGAAATTGGAGGACGACTTCGACGCCTTCACCACCACCAAGGCGGCCGACCTGGCGCAGCCGTTAGTGGAGGCGCAATTTCCGTTCAAAATCCACATAGTGAAGGACCACGACATGAAGGAGCGGCTCTGCTTGGAAGTCGAGAGGCTCCGGCTCAGCGTCGTCATCATGGGCAGCCGCGGCTTCGGCGCCGCCAAGCGAGCCTCCAAGGTCGGCAGGCTCGGCAGCGTCACTGACTACTGTGTTCACCACTGTGTTTGTCCAGTTGTGGTCGTGAGGTATCCTGATGACTCGGACGGGTTGGGCCCTGGCGGCGAACCCGATATCCCGGTGGAGCTCCACCCGGTGCCGGAGGAGGATCAGGAGGACTTCAATGAAGGCTCCTCCGACGACAACGATGATGCGCATGGTAAATTTCGTTTGTCCTCAACTGTAAATTACACTAAATAATCGTAAATTGCAAATTGACCCCTTTTTCTCTTGTCATGTTGCAGAAATCAAATAAATTGAAGGTTGGAGGGCTTACGCAGCGAATTTAAATGGGTTTATGGCTACTCTTGTAATTTCGATTGTTTTTCACTTTGCATTTTCTCTTTGTCAAACCGTGAAAACTGGTGGTGAATTGAATGTGTGTCTCAGTCTGTATAATCACATGCATGTTTGATTTTATAGCTTTACCCTTGCTACGGTAATAGTCATTTACTTTTTTCACTCCGACAACCACGGAATCAAACATAAGACTTCGGGTACAAGTGAGCACCCTAACCATACAGCCGAGCGCCGTTAACCATATGAGAAATTTTTTAATGTCAGGAATACGGCTTGATACTAAATGTCATAGTACATTGATTAGACTTTTTTTTCTATTTTTGAAGTATCAAACCATTTGTATTATGACACTTGATATACCAGACCATGTTTCCGGCACAAAATATCTCTCTAACCATACAGGCAAACGCGAACAGCGATTTCCAACTATATAGGCAGACACCATTAACTACTTGAGCTACAAACAAGATATCAATGCTTGCAAAAGAAAATTCAACCATTCAATAAAAGGGTGTTCGGAAAGCACACAAAAATATAGAATTTCAAATGTGAGAGAATGCAATCGTAGAAATCCACACACAAACCAAAAGTTTTGGTCCAAAAAACCAAGTACTGCATGAACCGATAGAAAGTACAAAGCGTGAAACGTAAATCCTCACATAGCTGCCATTGTTCCCTCGCTCCGACTCCTGCGCATCGAGAGATCCTGCTTGAGGTTCATAATTCTGCTTCCCAAATCAAGGTAGTGCTGCCGACTATGCGCTGTTGCTTTTGTTCCGCTCGGAGGGAGGTGGCTGTGTCTACCCCGAGACTTTTTCAGTGTTGCTACAGATGCACTTGCATGACCGTGAGTTGATGAAGTCGATGGCTTTTTAGATGATGCACCATGACTAGCCTTCCTCGGAGCCTTGTGATCGGGTCTAAGGGTTCGATCAAACTGGTGGTTACTAATACCTAAGCGAACTGACCGATCTGCAGAATCCTTCAGAGAGCTGGACTTGATTTGCTGCCGGTTGTAGTAAGTCATGTGGGGAAGAAGTCCTTGCAGGTATTTCTTCAATTGGTCATCGCCGACATTCTTCTGAGCTGGGTTTCCTTCCAGACTGATGGCTTGCAAGGAGTTGTAGTTCGCCGCAAGTTGACCAAGACATTTTGCCGTTGAGATTTTGTTGAAGCGCAGATCCAGAACAGTCAGTTTTAGGAGGCGATGAAGACCCTCCACCTCACTGATCTTGTTTCCAGCCAAGTACAATTCCTTTAGAGATGAACAAGAAGCTAGGCCTTCAACATAGACAAAACGGAAGAAAAAAAAGTTAGGACATGAATTATTCATGATTAATCAACAAAGCCAGGAAATATTTCAATGTGTATTCGATATATGCAATCTACCATGTCCGATTCTCAAAATCCTGTTGTAGCTCAGGTCCAGTACACGAAGTCTTGTGAGTTCACGCAAACCTTCAATAGTAGAAACACTGTTTTTTGAAAGATTCAGCATATGGAGTCCTCGAGGAAGAGCACCAGCAGTTATCCTTACTGCAGCATGTATGCAAATGGAAAGCTAATTAGAATACAGAATCAATTAATCCCAAGAATAATCACAAACACCACAACACAGAAGCATACAGAAAGAATAATAAATATTTGAATCAAATGGAACAGATGAGTCAGAGAGGAAAACCTATGGAATTTCCTGATAAATTGAGCACCCTGAGATTTACAAAAGCACTAAGGAACGGTATCACTACCAATCCATGATTTGCAAGCTGAGCTGTGGTGGCAGCAGCACTCAAAGAAGATATATATCGCTTAGCAACTTCCATGCCAGGAGTGACCTTACCATCTGCCTTAGCAGTAGTCAAACCGTTTGAGTCATTGGGCTCTCTCTTCACCTGATCATTACATTGGGACAATTCATCCGTTTCTTCCACCGGACTGCTGCTATGCTGAAGATTATTAACCCACTCCTCGATACGCTTATATTTAAAATCCTTGTTCGGCAATTCATCCCAACTTAGAACTGAGGATTCTCCTTGGAGGTTTTTCTCTGTGCTTACCTCATCTGCAGCTGGCATTATCCAGTCCTTTGCAAAACTAGTGTAGTTACAAGAATCATAGCCATCATCGATGGAGTTTTCAATATTATCGTTCTCAGCTTTACTTACAACATCATCTCTTTCGTGTTCTTGCTTTACCTGCATTTCAGTCTCATGTACTGAATTCCCTTTCCGCCTCATGCCTAAGACATGCAGGTCCTCGGAAGATCTTGAATGCACTGCTAAACGATTAACAGGAGAACCATCTTCAATAGCTGGAACAGAAGCACTAATGTTTGCAGAAGAACAAGATTTAACAAGCCCTTTTGCAGTACAAGGTGTGAAGTCAGCAGAGTCATCAGCAAACTCTCCAGATGTTGGAGTCTCACAGTTTTCATGGCCGTCCTTTTCTGATTGTAATGGTTCCCCAATTGAGAAAATTGATTCATTATTGACAATTTCAGAACTTACTTGACCGAGGTCGGAAGCAGGAGTTGTCTGAGATGGTTGAGGTGGGCTTTCTCCTCGGTCCCTACTTCCCTCTGGTACCGCCAATCCATTCCGATCAAGAGAACCATCAGAAGAAACTCCTTGATCAGTCTCGTCCCCAGCGTCATTGTCAGCAGAAGCCCTCCCATCAAGGTATAATTCACTTCCCAGAGACCTACTTTTTATAAGCCGTCCTGCCTGAGTAACCTTCTTGTCATTTTCTTTGATGAAGCTGCTTTCCATATCACCTGCTTTCCAATCAGCCTCAAGAGAAGATACATGCTTCAAACTGCTGTTAATTTGAGAAACTCCTTCTGTCTGTGATGGGTTTACGCTTGATTTTCCAGGCGAATCCTTCAAAGCTTGATTTGGAGAAGAAGCTTGCAATGTTTTATGCATTATTTCGACAGAAGGTTGAAAACTTTTCTGTTTGAAAAAGAAGACTCGGAATCAGAATAAGGAATGAACTAGCAAACCAATCAGAATAAATCAGAAGCACCAATGACCTGATGTGATGATTGTTCCGCTCACCTTAGGTTTGGGGCGATGGACGTTAGCTTGGAAACATGAAAACCTACCCATTGCTGGCAAAATATAAAAGCTAGTGAGCTACATCAACACTCGTGAACTACCTTTGACTACACCTGAAACTATCAACGACAAACTATTGTGCTCAATACTCTCTGGAAGCCTGTATGAACAACCTGACCTTGCTAAGTACAGTGAAAAACTACCATCAAGCTTCCGATAGGGCAACCACGAATGTCATTAGCCATAATCAAGCGACAAACCCACTGAAACACGGCACAATCTCCAGATGTGTGATGATCTCGATCGCCTTAAAACACAAAGCAAAATCACTCTCTCATTATTACCCCACACCTTTTTAGAGGTGCGAGAGGAAATTGATTTTGCAGTAGCGGCCAGACTGAAATAAAATATCCGTCAAATGGAGAAGAACCCCAACCAGAACATGCACCGGAAATACTGGCCTGATAACAAGAAAAAAAAATATTACTGAAACTTAGCACCCCGTGCAGTAATGCACAACATACTATATATAACTCAGTAATTTGAAATCAAGGGACAGAAAAATACAACTTTCTAAGAATCCATGACCAAAAAACAGATTGAAATCTCTTGCTTGCTACTTGAAACGATTACCTCCCATCATTTCCTCTTATACACATTATAGGCTCATTGATGCATAGGATAGGATTAGATGGAATAACTCACAAGATCCAAAGTATGTTGAAGTAAGAAAAAATCAAGGTGGCGGTTTCGTTTAGTGGGAATTAGAGGGGATAAATTATAAGGTGTTGATATCCTACCATTTTGCTAGGATTCGACGGGATAAGTTTCTTTCCTGAGTAATCCATATTCTACCTTCAACTTGAACAGAACTTCTTCATTCTTTTCCTTCAACATGCCTTAAAATCTAACATATTTAACTCAACATAATTGTTTATGTTAGTGATAAACATCTTTTGTTCCAACATACCCACCAAAAGCAATGAAAAGCTATTGAATATATATCTCTGTGTGTGTGTATTGTATACATATACATACATATTATGATATTTTCTGAATTCGTTTCCAAAGAAACGGATAAACAATTGCCTCATTCAGACAGCAAGATGGGAAAATAGAAAAAACCAAGCATTGCAGCCGACAAACACTATTTGTTTCTATTGTTCATGCCCAGAAAGATTAAACTACATTCAGAACTCCGAAAACCCGGCAATCAAACACAACCCATTAGAGAAAACAACCCACAAGTCAAATACAAACAACAAGAACACATTTTTATCATCAAAAAATCAGAAACCAAGAAAAAGGAACACAAAGATTATAAATTTCAGAAGCAGAGATCTGACCTCTCCGTAGCCAGATTGTAATGGAAGGCAGCGCTCAACGAGAGCAAGACCCTGCCTTTCTTCTTCCTTCTTCCGCAGCAGCAGCAGAGCCACAAAGTCTCAATTATTTTTTTATTTTTTTATTTTTTATTTTTTGTAATTGTAAATTTATTGGTTTGTATGTATTATTGAGAGCTCCTCTGGCTCTGATTTTATACACCCCAAAAAAATTATGAAAAAAAAGAGAGACGCGGAATTGGGAAGAGAGAATGATTCTGAATCATGTTTTTGTTATTGTTGGTTAAATTCAAGGATTTTGCGTAGAATTTGTGCTTCCATGTTTGTTTGTTAAATAAATGGGAAAATTTTGCGTCCACACACGCAGCGACGTGCGAGGGCCGTTGGTGTTTACTCCTCCTTTCATGTGTTTTTTGCATATTATTTTTAAGTTCGAATCACTTATTTTCTGCGGACGATGTTTTATTTAAAGGAAAATTAATAAAAAAAAATTAAAATTTTAAGTTTTAACGATAAGGATAAAATAAAGGATGAAGTGAATAATATCATAATTGATTTTTTAGTGTAAAAATATAATTTTTCATTAAAAATGAATAATATTGAAAGTTTTTCGTTAAAGTTTCCTTTATTTAATTTACAAAGAGAAGATTTGTCATAAGAAAAGTATATTGTTATAGTCAACTTAGTTATGACTAGGTATGAGAAATTTTTTAATGTTCTCGAAACACAAAATGATGAATCATATGTCATTATATAAGTGAAGAGAAGTTTTATTTTATAATTTTCACTCCACTTGTATAATAATAATGGTGTATCACTCTATATTATGATATACTAAAAAAAAATCTCTCAATTAGCTATGTAGAAACAGTATTATTATTAGCAGTTCAAAAATTTAATTGTAACTACTTTTATTAAAGTATTTTTTTATTAAGTATGTGGTCCATCATTATTAGAGAGAAAAATTGTTACTGGTAATTTAAAATTTTAAATGTGAATTTCAAACTTTTCATATTTAAAAAAAAAAAATATGCCAAGTTGGATATCTAAATGAGTTTATTTAAAAAAATAAAAAATAAAAACGTTACCGCAATATAAAATATCATCCAAGTTAGACCATCGTTTAACTGGAATTTGATTCCCGTCCTGTCTAAATAATAAAAAATTAGTTAGAATATCACATTATCAAAAAGATATTCTCATATTTTTTTTTCTTCGATCAGCTGTCTCACTTTACATCTTCCAAGCAATTCTCAGTATATGGAACATGATATCTTGTTCTTGGTTTCACATTATGAATCGAACCTGAACTTATACTAAACAAAACACGTTATTCTAATCTCAAAGACATAGCATGTGATTATCTTTTGCTTGTGTTTTCTAAAGATGATTCTAGCTTTTCCAGAAACATCTATATATTAAATAAATAAATAAAAAGATAAATGCAGATACATTTTTTCAGCTTTCACGCATTCTTGTTTTTTAACGGTCATAAATAAAAAATATGTGTAAGAAGTTAAAAACAGTGTGCGAAAATCACCTTTCAATGAATAAAGCCACATTGTAATCTCTTATTACATAGAAGTAAGTAGATGGAATGGGACATGGAAGGTGATGCTTCCAATTCATTCTTTAATATGATATGGTTGTTCTCTCATTTTCGGTAGTTGATCTCGCCGGCCTTAGGTTTATGGCCATTGAATCTTGTGTTGCCAGCAGAAATTCAATTGGAATTTGGCATTTTAAACCAAACGGGTGCAATGTGGCAGCTCTTACTCCGCACAAACGGGTTGGATTAGTGAGGCGGTGGGAGCGGGCGTACAATACATGTGATTCATATACTCGTATCTAAAATTTTCTTTGAGTATAGGAAAAATTCTTCAGTGTGCATGGCATTTACACACTAACACGTAACATCTATGTTTAATAATGTTATGTCATAAAGAGATAAACTTACTGTATAACAATCTGTTATTGAATCAAAATATTATGTTGTTGGTAAACTCATTCTATATATATATATATATATATACACTTTTTTGTTCAAATATAATCTTCATTGATAAAAGAAATTGTTACAAGAAATAAACTTAAAGAAAATGTGCTAGTAGGCCAAGTGGACAAAGAAGTCGAAGCAAAGCACACGATGGCCAAGTAGACTCTATTTGCTAACACAAGTCGTCTTCGTCACAACCACCATGTACCTTACCAATCTTTTGTTCGGGTTAGCCGATACCTGGTCATCACCAACAAAACACAAGGGCCATAAAACAAACCGCACATGCAAATAAGTCCCAAATGAAGAACAATCTAATCATTAATCTCACAACAACAAAAATGTACAAATTTTCCTCTAAAAAAACTCAGCAAAAGAAATAAGCACTCAACACCAGCAACTATATCCACCATCCGAGGACTAACAAGTGAAAACTTTCGATGCAACAAAGCAAGAAGATAGGATTCCATCAAACCGTACAAAGAGGCAGCACACAAACCCACACCAGCTGCAAAGCAAATTGGTGCACCTCTACCTAAGAACATCAGAAATTATCCACAAACCCAAGCAATACAATATATCGAGGCCCACAATAAGCCCAATAAACCGGGCCCATGTAATAAAGGAAGGTAGCGTTGTTCTAGGCTCATCGTTTCCTCAACCTCGACAGCTCGAGCTCGGGAGAGAGGCTGTCGGCTTTCCGCTATGGCTTCAAAGCTGCTTCCGCTGCGACGCCTCTCGAAGAGGCTTCTCAAACCTCCATCTTCTTCTTCTTCTTCTTCCACCGCCTCCAGGTCGTGCTTGCATATTCTAGAAGCTTCAAAATCTCCACATCTCTCCCAGAACAGCCACGACGGACCTTGTCATTGGATAGCTTCCAGAAGCTTCTGTTCTAGCCCTCTGAATCTCGACGACGATACTCAAATCCCCGCCGCCATCGATTACCAGTAAGTCCCAATTTTCGATCAAAATTTTGTCTTCTGTTTGGCTACTGAGAAAATAAGAAAACAAAGTTTTGATCTTTTTCTCTAAGGCGTTGTTGTAGGAAGTATAAATGTTGCTTTAACTAAGTTCAAATATACAAACTTTATTAGGAAAATGCGCTAAACAGACAATAAGTCGTATATATGTCACGGTTTATCACCCCTTATGACTGTTAGTGTCCCGCCAGTTCTATTTTTTATTGAAAGATTGTAACCGGTTCTATTTGCGCATATTTTCTGTACTTATTTAAGTTGTTCATCAACTGAGAAACTCTAAAGCTATTGATTTTGTGTTGAAAATGGAGTTTTAGTTGAAATTGTTGTTTGCTTCGAGGCGTAAAATGAATGTTGCTAATGAGTTGATGTGCATACAGTTCTGTATTGCCGGAGGATGAATTTCACAGGCTAGCTGATTCTACAATACAAGACCTTCAGGAGAAATTTGAGGTACTTCTTTCGTTCCGTTCCTTTTCATGCCGTGTAATTTGAGTAAAAAAACTCGTTACGCATTGTTTTCTTGTTTTGGTACATAACACATTAAGTATTATCTTTTCATTGATGGTTCTACTTGTACAGGAATATGGAGATTCTGTTCAAGTTGATGACTTTGACATAGACTATGGGGTGAGAATGGCTGATTGTTGTTTGAAATTGATTAACTAATTAGGAAAGTAATGAATTTTTTGGTGAATAATTGGGTTTGCATTTGGCAGAATGAGGTGCTGACCTTAAAACTCGGGGATCATGGCACCTATGTTTTGAATAAACAAACACCAAACAGACAAATTTGGTTGTCTTCCCCAGTGAGGTATGTTGTCCGCTGTTGCTCTTACTGGCTTCAGGTTTGCTTGTGTGTTTGTGTCTCAACGCTTTTGTGAGAACCATATGTAGGCTTTCCAAATGTCTGTGTGTCTTGTTGATACCTTTGCTTCACGCCATTGTTTGGACTGCATGTTAACTAAATGTACAATATCTGAATGAGTAGTTCTGTAACGTGGGAAACTCTTTCATTGTGTGCTATGAATGAAACTGGATGTATCCTCAACAGTCAGCACCAGACAAGCTGATCTGTCACTCTATACCATAGTGCACGCATACATATTGAAACGTTTGAATGAACATATTTTTTATCGTCAAATGATGTATTACTGCATGTCCATGAGTTTGCTTTTGTGTCCATGGCTTCTTCATATTTCCTTGATAGCGGCGTTATTTTTGAGCAATGTGCAGACAGCTTAGAACGTCCTTATGATCAGAAATTAATCCCTTAAACTTATGGATGGATTATAAATTAAAGAAATTTGAATACGATCTTACAATTTTCTAATACTGTCTAGGTTCGTAGTTGAAGCAAGAACAGGTATCAAATGACGCAGGCTTGAATTAAAAAAGTTCCCTTGAATGAAAATTCTCCTACAAGATTTTGGAATGGAAGCGCAAAGAATGAAATTGAAATTAATTCTTTTAGGAAATATAATCTGATTAATGACTAGAACCTTGAACGGTAGCCCTTCAACTGGAACCTGTGCCCTTCCTTCTCCCATGTGGATGAATGTCTTGATGCCCTTAAACTCATGAAAGGAAGAGAGTTTAATGGGGCGGGGGGTCTTTATTTTTTACGCATCATGCACGTGCCCGTTATTGTTGGCATGTCGTTGATGTATATCATGTCTCCAATCTGTTGGCTATTGACATGTCTTTATGGAAGCTAATTACATTCATTGTTGTTTCGAGCCTCGTGTTCACAGAACTGGAATGCTTTATTATAGTGCCCATCTCTTTCATGTAGAATGCCATGTTAAGTGTGATGTCAACATGGTCTCACGTACTCACCATCTTGACAAATACCTGTACTGATATTGTAAAACCAAGAAAGACATTTTCGTGCTCATGCTCCTACCCCTGCATCTATCTTATGTAAAGTGTTAGATATTCACGGTCGCATTTGATCGTCACTATTTTGCATGACTTATTAATTTTTCTTTCGTTCTGCTAAAAGATTTATGTTCTTGATGCAGTGGTCCTCAGAGATTTGACTGGGATCGGAGTTCTCAAGCGTGGGTTTATAGGAGGACCAAAGCTCATTTATTGAAAATTCTAGAGAGTGAGTTGGAGGAACTGTGTGGTGAACCCATCAGCCTCTCGTAAACCGCCTCAAAAGTTAGGTAATATAGTTTCACTTGGAAATTAATTTGCAGCATAGTTTTTCTTCCAGAACACATATTTGGTGTCCTCCACAGCTGAATATAATCTTATCTTGACTAGTTATTGTCTGAAAATTTGTTTTTTTGTGTGAATAAGCAACATGCTTAATGGGAAGGCAAGAACTTCATTTCATTTCGCCAGTTTTCTTTCAATGCAATTGTCTTGTAATTTCCTTTTGTGTTCTTTAGTCTCGCTAGGAAAATTTTCACTGTGCAACTTATGACCTACTTTCGATTTGTCCACTCGACTTTTAATTTGTTATGAGCCCCTCTAATCCTTTAAACCATGCCAATTTGCTCATTTTCTCTTGGTAATCATAACTGTTTTTATTATAAATAACTTTGTAAAGATTTTCTGCGAAAAGTTAATTAAAACTAAAATTGTTTAGTCAATTGTAATAAATAAATAGATGGTTGGTAATGTTTTTATTGAATCTGTCCATCTGTTTTTATACAGTTCAACAACTAAATGATCTTAGTTTTAAGGAGTTTTTTTGTAGAGATGATCTATATATACTGACATATAATATAAATTTTGTAGAGATGATATTTAATATAGTGACTTATATATAACGGTTCTGATTATAAGTATGATGTTCTGTGAATAATTTACAATGTATTTTAAGTAGGAGTTCGTACTCAATCCTTGAGGAGCCAAGTCTTTTTCATTTAAAAGTCTTGCGGCAAATCATAATAGAATACTAAAAATCGCTTTGCAAAAAATCAATTAAAACTAAGGTGATTTAGTCATCCAACTGTTTAAAAACAAACGAACGATATTGGTAATAGTATTACGAACTATCTCCGTATTTGCTATAATAGATTGACTAAACAACCTTAGTTTTAATTTATTTTTGCAGAGATGATCTTTACAGTGGTCCTGATAGTAAGCACAAAGTTTTGTGATTAAAACATTAAGAATTTTGAGTAGGAGTTTCTACTTATCTTTGAATAGCCAAGTATTATTCATACTAACAAGTTCAATGGCATTGTTAAAAGTAGGGTGGTGTTCTCCACACATTCATGTTTATCTCCCACACTTGTTAATTTTTGTCATTTGATTTTTTTTCAATTCATTCAATTCGACGGCCCACAATTAAGAGAAGTTCAATGGCATTGTTAAAAGTAGGGTGGTGTTCTCCACACATTCATGTTTATCTCCCACGCTTCTTGTTAATTTTTGTTATTTGATTTTTTTTCAATTCATTCGATTTGACGGCCGAAAATTAAGAGAAGTGTGTACGAGGTAAAACAATGGTGGGTTGTATGTCCTTGAGGTACTAGGGCACTTTATACACCCCAACTCATGGATAAGGATCCTTTGCATCTTCTTTGTAGGGATATGAATGATCAATCAATCGTGTTTGTTTATCGTATATTGTGCGATCAGTTTTTCATTAAGTACTGTCTGTGCTCAATTTTAAATAAAAAATTTCAACAATTTTAAATAAAAAATTTCAAAATAATTTGAACGAATGCAATTGATTGTTCATTCAGATTCCTACAAAGAAGATCCAGATAGAATTATAATCCCAACTCTATGATCACAGCCACAAAACTTTAATTCGACTTCTAGGTACAAGTGCTTTTCCGCATGGTGCCTGGCTAGCACCAGCTGGTTTTATGTATTAAACAAATAATGGATATTTTACAGAAAAATAAACGCTGTGTGGTGTCTCTTCCGAGTTCCAAGGGATGAAGGATAGAATTGAATAATCCTCGGATTGGTACTAATAAAATATTTTGGTTGACATAAAAGTCTCGATTCCGACTAGAATTGAGATCAGATGATCCCTCTCAATTATTTACTCATTATCTGACCCAACATACGTCATGTTTGAAACTACTTCTAAAATAATTAAAATACTTTTGAGTTAAAAGAAGCATTTGAAATATTTTTGGACAGAAGCACTTGATGTGTGTTTTTTTTTCAAGAAGTACATCAAGTGCTTTTTCAAAACGTACTTACATTTTTATTAAAATTTTGACATGCTTCTAATAGAAGCACTTTTGGTGGAAGCATAATCATCTCCAATTGGGCAATATATCTATCTACAGCCTATAAAATTTACAACTTTGTACTATTATATCCACCTCAAATAATGACTGAAAATTGAGGATATAATATCCAGTTGTATACAAGAATATTCCGTTAGAATCAGATAAAAGCAGCAGTGCATGAGTTGCACTGATCTATTAGACAACTGATTTTGCATTGTTGAACTATTGCAATTTTAATCTAGCCTTTTAAACACTTGTGTATCGTAGAAAAACCAAATAATTCAACGAATTTCAACATAACACGTGTATTTTAGAAAGAAAAAAAACCCAAATAATTGAGCGGATTACAACGTGTTTATTATGCTTATTTGCCATCAATGTCGCACTCGTAGTGTTTAAGATCAACGGTCCCTGTTGATCCATTTAATTTTGGATACCAACTTAGTGGTTGCTATTAAACCATGGCACTATTAAGTTTCTGTCTGCAAGCTAAAAAGGGCAAGCATAATGCAAGTGTACTAATTCAGTACAAAGCTACTTTCGTAAACAGCTTACTTTCTGCAGTTGGTTTGTTCTCTCAAATATCCCCTCTACCAATTTGGGTGGCCAGAAACCAAGTGAAAATTTAGACGAACCTCCATCGTTCAAGGTGGGAAAGGAAACAAACATTTCACCAAAAATCATGTGAGAGTAAATTCTAATTGAGGAAGTTTATCTCCAAGTGATCGATTGTACTGATGGATGTGATTTCTCTCGTCAACTAACTACATCAAGGGTTTGAATTTTCTGCATGCGTCTATCCTTAACCTAGTTTAGAGTAGAAATATTGTTTGTAATAGAACAAAAAATGGAGGTAGTTTATAGAAAACATTTTTTCAGAAATGTTTGTGTTTGTAATTTAGTTGGAACATTGATTGGCTTCTTACATTACAGTCGTCCAAGCACGTGTTTAGTGATTGTTAATCATTAATGAATGTAAATTCCACAATCTGTCAATCCAAAAAACCTTATATAGGATTGTCTGATTAGTTAAATGGTCGTACATTCTCACAAAAAATCGGATTCACTATATAATTAGGTACCATCAACTCCTTCAATGCATACAAGCCCATTTTTTGTGAGAGTGATCGAACCAGCTGGCCGATCTGGCTCTCTTACAAAAAATTTCCTTCGGTGAACAACTGATAATCGTCCATGCTAGTATCATTTATCCTCCAGTTTAAATAACATTTTACAAAGAATGGGATGAGACACAATCCTTTTGTCAATCCAAGTGCCAGGAACATAAAGCCTCATTTGTCACCATCATGGTGTCATATTTCATCAAGTCATGGTCGGTAGAAAAACCTAAGATAAATAAAAGCATCTACCATGCTTTTGCTTTGGCTAGCAGCAAACTCGTAGTACAATATCTTCCTGGTGGTTTAGAATTTTCAGGAAAGTACAACTGCAAACCACCACCACACACACAACCATTCAAACCCTAAAAACTTTAAAACAAATTAATATCCACCACAAGAACCAAACTACTCGATCGAGTTCAGATCTTTTATGATATAAAAAATGCTAACGAGATTCTTTCAAAATAGGATTTTTTAAGAATTTTTTATCATAGTTTAACGTTAATTTTCGTGTTAACATTATAAAATATTGTACTAAAAACATGAATAACAAAGAGTTTACGAAGAATCTGACTTATTCTTAACAGTTCTCGCGTGGTAATTTGCAAAAGTTATTATTATTCTTTCTTAACAATTAACCACCCTTAAAAACGAACCAAAACAAAAGTGATGTAAATTAAGAAAATATGATTGGTTGATGAACTTGTGGTGTCTGCTGAGAGCCTCTCTCAACCACAACCTGGTTACGTGGGAGATTTATTCGTATTATTTTATGAGAATCTCTGATTAATGATTTGATGGCCGACCATGGACCTTACAGTAATCAACAAATAAAGATTACGGATAAGATGCTAATCTCATGTTCTTCGTTAATCAACTTTGTTATAAGGGTCTTAAGCTAGATATTTGTTGAGAGAAAAGAATAAACAAACATACACAGATATCCAAACCAGACAATGTTAACCACAAAGAGAGATTAGAACAAATTAAAGTAAAGTACGCAACCTTCGACCTACTAACAAATAAAGGTATGACATGGGATGGGAGGGTGTCTTATATTATCATGCTTAAGCAATATTGTTGCTAAAACCCACTAGCTTGTAAAAACCAGTCAATATCAACTCTCCTTCTCTCCTATTTTACAGGAGAAGAGAAACTGCGGTAGTTTAGGGTTGCTTGATTGGAGTAGTTTTCGTATCACGTGAGTTAGATAAACATGACATGTCCCCAATTTTTGTAAAATTTGTCTTAGAGTGACGTAATTTGGGTGCTCCTATATAAGGGTGCATGAAAATGTCTAGGATATTAACCAAAGGTTGAGAATTTGGAGAATAGTTGCTATGCCTTGACTGTTGGTGCATATGATACCTACACGAGTGATCAAAATTTGTCTGATTATCGATATGCACGAAAAATTAGAATTTGACAGTGATATGATACAAACAACATATAAACGGTTAAATTTAATTGATTGTGATTCTAACACCAACAATATATCGACGATGAGAATTCTCCCACATGTGTGGTGCTTGTGACTTGCGTGAGGTTGTCATGGGTCATGACACAACGTTGGCTTTAAATCACAACACAATGTGTTCAAAGGACAAATAAATCATAGCACAAAGAGGTCCCAATCTAGTGTGTTGAACGATGACTTGATATGTATGGACTAGGGTTTACTTGCGTGCCACAGAAATTGGCCATGGCATTTTCTGACAACTGCCACGACCTTTCACGCCACCTTCAATCCATCAACTCCACTCCTCTGAGGACTCGGTCGTTTCATCTCCACCGCACATTATGCGCTCCCTTCTACTGGAGCCTGGCGCCATGCCATTTCAGCACACTAAAATCTACTAGAGTCGGGGCGAAACGCGTCTAAATAAATTCGACGTCAAAATATTTTAACATGCTATGTTGTCAGATTATTAATTTAAACCGTGCCGGTTCATTCATGAACAAAGTTTTACTTGATTAATAATTCAGATTAACGGCCGGACTAAGATCATCCAACCCTACTTAAAAAGGAAAAACATGATAAGGTACTTCAATACAAGAAAAAGGAAAAAGCTACTCTTTCAAATTACAAAACAGTATTTTTACAAAATAATGGCACGACATAAACATGAAGAATCGGAATTTTAAATTGGTAAAATAAAAAGAAAAAAATTTAAACAAATTGCGTGACTAATACGAAATTAACTACTGATCTAATCAGGAACTGCTGAGTTGAGACTGCTGTAAGTAAAAAGAATTATCCATCATCCCCACATCAGACGGCTACAAGCCTCCGAAGCATAAAGATCGACGGCTTCAGAGCCTTCATTAAAGTTCACCGATTGTCTTGCCGGCGAAATCTCCTCGTGGACTCAATAACGGGCGAGGACGGGGAACCCGGCCGGTTTAGATCGATTCTCCGGTCTTTTCGAGGTCTCGATGAGTCAACCGAAGTGGCTCCGTCGTCGGGTTCGGTCCGACCCGCTCGAGCTGCCTTAGCCGAGCCACACCTCCGGTGAGGACATGAACCGTGGAGATCGTCGACCTGTGATTCAAAACGCACGAATCTTAGCCGTTGAAAAATGAAAGACGATTCTGAAATCAACGGAAACAGAGAAGTAACGTACCTGAGAGCGAAGATCCGACGCGGTTTCTCTGAATCGCTTCAACGACACGGCGGTGGCGTCTTCAGAACCATCTCCATCGCCATTGTTGGACGCAGTCGCAGACTGCTCGCTGCTCGATGCGCTCGAAGTCGGCGGAGGCAGCGTCGCCGTCGAAGACAACGGCACCACCTGATTATCTCCGCCCTCGTCGAAACCAACAACCTCATCATCATCGGCGTCATCGTCGTCGTCAATCTCATCGTTGTCGGAATCGAATTCATCATCATTACCGTCCTGGCTCACCTCCTCCTCCTCCTCCTCCTCCTCGTCTCTGCTTCCGTCTCGTACGACGCAGCTCTCGCAAACCGAAAAAGTGTGGCCGAGCTTTTCGCCGCAGGCATTCCACGGCGTCGGAGACTGGCACCCGTGGCAGAGGAGGCTTCTGGAGTGGCGAGCCACCAGAAAATTGGCGCCGTGTACCTTGGCGTCGCAGTCCCAGCACAGCATCGCCTGGTCCGATTCGCAGACGATTCTCGCGGGAAGCCGGCAGAGCTCGCAGTTCTTCATCTCTCTCTTGATTGCAAAGGACGCAGAGTCCGCCTTCAGTTTCTGGGAATTTTCTTTTCTCGCAGCTTCTTTGTGTTTTCTCGGAAAAAATTATTCTCTCTTCTGCAAGTTCGGGATGGGATGGGAAAGAAGGGAAAAGAAAGGAATTGGCCACTTGCAGTTATTTATAGCAACAACCCTGCATTTTATTTCATTTACGATTTTACCATTCTTGGGACTTGTTTTTGACACATCTACTACTCAAATAATTTATAATTTCAAGAGCAACCAATTGGCTACTCATGATTAAATAGGAACTCTTATTTAAAATTTTTGTGTTCGAGTACAAAGTTTTATGCTTATAACAATAATTGCTTGTATTATGAATCACTATATAAAGATTATTTTTATAAACATAAATTAAAATTAAGGTCGTTAAGTTAATTATTTTAACAAATGCATAGATGGTTAGTAATGCTCATTATTCTAAAAATCTCCACCTAACGCCGCCTAGGCCTTGCCTAGGTGCTAGACGGTTGACTACTGCCCTGATTAAGAGTTTGAAAATTAAGAAATAACGTCTAAACATGCTGAGGTGCCTGCCTAGGCACATACCTAGCCCACCTAGACCCGCCTAGGTTGCGACTCATTTAAACATAAAATAGATAACTTTCATTTTGTATTTTATTTTTTTTCAATGAATTGTAAGAGACTTGTTGAATAATTGAATAAACACACATTATGTGCGTATGTTCCCCATGTTTTTATTATGTTCTAATACTTTACAATATATATGTTATTCTATTTTGTAGTTTATAATGAAATTATATATATTTTAAATATAAATAGCTATTTATTTACATGAAATAATAATAGATTTACTTAAATTTGCCTAAGCCCCACCTAGGCATTAGGTCCCAGCTCGCCGCCCGACTAACACTTAGTGTCTTTTAGAACCTTGATAATGCTTTTACCACAAGACATTAAATTTAATTGATTTTTTTGTAGATACGATCTTTGTATAATGATTTATAATATAAAAGGTTCTATAGAGCAATAAATATAACAATCTATGTTCGTATTACTTTCACCTGTACCTAGTATTTGTAATTGATGGTATATACTTCGGTTTAATAGTATTCATTTTCACTTATAATGAGAAATTTTGAATTCTATTATCATTAAATATGAGTTTAAACAATATTATTGCTAATTCATGCTAATGCTAAATTCATACGTAATATCATATTTTAAAGAAAAAAAAAATTACTGACGGAGAAATCGGACCAAGTAAACAAAGGGCACGGAGGTCATTTCCAAGTACAAAACGGTGCAGAAATTCTTTGGATGGCGTGTGAGGACAGCACCAAAGTAGTCCAAGGGTTTCAAAGGGAGGAGGACCAAGAGGTGGAGGCTGTGGTACTCCGCGGCGCCAGGTGTCGCCTTGTCAGGGAACAAAACCTATGTGTGGTCTGTATAGGAAGAGAGTCGTCTCCTGAGTTCATGATAAGAATCATTCTAACAACTTATTTGGACCGTTTAAATTTAATATAATGATTCTGAGGACAATCTTTTAAAATTATAATAATTACAATTGTTGAATTAAATATAAACGATTCAGAGAGGCTGGTTAGGAGGATTTCCATTTATAAGCTCAGGAGAGAGGATCCTCTTCCGTCTGTGACCCTGTATATATCTACGGGGGGCCCTTCAGTCTTTTGCCTCCTTGGTTGGTGCAGACTTGCGAGGATATTTTTAAAAATCTGGCGGAAAATGTCGTCCAGGTGGCATATTTTCAATGCAAGGGAGATTGTAGTGTGGCTTACGTGGCGGAATTTGAGCCAACGGACCACGTGGGTCTGCACCTGCAAACTGATTTGATTATCAATTACGTGTACTGTGGGCCCGGGCTCTTGCGATTTTCAGCCTTGCATTTCGCGGCTCCGAATCTTGTTCTCCGTTTCCTGGAGTCTTGAGTCTTCCCACACGCGTTTATTAAATATTTTAATATTAAAATAATAATATAGAAAGATGTCTTTTTATTTATATTTTTATTTTGTAATAAAAAAATAGAAATCAACTATAAATAAACTGCCCACTATCTTAGAAAATAAATTATTTAAAACTTCAGGAAAATAATAACAAAAACAAGGGAGCACACACTATCTTTATACTAGTCTCTTGGTAATTGTTTTTTTATTAAAATATATGTAAACACTGTCATGATTTGCCTTCCGAGTATGTAAACACTGTCATGATTTGCCTTCCGAGTATGTAAACACCCTCATAGCTTATAAGAGCAAGTCCAGCCTACTCCAGCCCCTCGGCCATGCGCAACCCAATTTTCCTCCCCTCCTCCCCCCACCCTCCAAAGATTGGGTGGAGTGACGTCTGGCTGACGTCACGGTAGCGTCAGTAATGGTTTAATTTTTTTTCTTTTTACCAGTCGTATGAGGAACGCGCGAGTGGAAACGTGTCCCTGATAGGATTCAAGAAGGTAGAGCCCGCGTGCCCCGCGTGCAGGCGCACTAGAAAGGCTCTGGATTTAGCTGCTACGTGGCCCTTTCTCAGCCGTTGGTCTAAGGTCCACCTAGTTTTAATCGGAACGTCCATTTAGTAACTAATGAGTAATGGTTTTCAAGTGTGTTTGCTTACAAATCACAAGTGACTTCACCGGCACAAAAATGCTGGGCCAAGCCCAAAGGAGATTTGCACTTCCTTTTCCCTAAACAACTGGATGGCGTTATCTGCGGCAACCGAATCCCAATACCAAACCCAGAGTTCCACCTCTTTTTTTTTTTTTTTTATTTAAATTTTTTTTTATTTTTAAGAAAAGAGGACCACATGGTGGCTTGCCACAACAGCTAATCATTATAGAGATCGGAAAGACCGACAGAGACATTTTAATCTTTCTTTACTTGACATTGTGCGATTTATTAGTGTCAGGAATCGAAGCTAACACCGATAAATACTTTCATTTCACTATGGCCTTTTTGAAACTGTGAATTACCCTAGTGATGCTCACTGTATGAAAATGTTCTCAGCCTAGATCCCTAATTTCCTTTTAAGAGTTATAGGATGAAATTGGTGCGCACAGTCGAAATCGGAGTACTACATTTATCATCAATTTGTATTATTTTTGGTGCCTTCTCTTTAATAGAGATATAATCCATCAATATATGTAGATTACATCTTTATTAGAAAAATGATATAAATAGATTGTAAGAACATCATTTTTGATAAATAAATGAAATAAATAGATTATGTAACTGTTAATCGAATTGCATACTAAGCGGGGTTAATGTCAGCCATATGTAGGTCTATTTAGTATAATTTGCATCAAAATACCTCAATTAGAAACCTAGATGGTGGCCAAACATCATTAATCAAGTTTATAAACACGGTGATTAAGAATCCAATATCAAAAGGCAATCGCAAAATAGGCAAAATAGGAAAACTAAATCATCATATTAGGGTTTCTTCATGCCCTTGCAAAGGTGTTTAGTTATGCATATCATAATAATAACAATAAAGGTCAACGATGGTGTGCTCCTAAGCTCTTTCTTAATTGACAAAAAAAAAAACCTCTCTTTCTTTTGGACGAATTTGTGCTTATGGTGACACGAAGAGAGCTTAATTAGAACATTTTATTTATACTAGAAAAATTCTAAAAAATGGGGTAAAAACTCTCATAAAAAGAAACAAAATCGACCACAAAATAAGAAAAAATCCTTCTTGATTTGAGAAACACATCACATTTTGCATGCCAAATTGAGGCCTTTCCACCATCTAGAAAATTCTGTAAAATACAAAACCTGGAGACCAATCTCTTAGATTACCAAGCATATATGGCACGACATTTGAAAAATGGGAAAGGCCTTTAAATCTTCATTCTACCACAATTGCGTGTTTTATCGAGAATTTAATTTTCGTGAGATTGATTTGCAAAATTGGAACGTCTGGATCCATTAAAAAATATGAAATTCGAACACAACGATCCTTCACATCTTAGCTTCTTTCTTGAGTTGGCCTTGCATCAAACACCTTTAGAAAGTCGATTTATCATAAGAAACGTCCGAAGTCCACAAATTGGCTGAAAGTAAAATAATAATAATAATAATAATAATAATAATAATAAGGCTCTTTTAAGAACCTTTCTTTAACAAAATATAGGGATAATTGACATGACAATACATGAAATAATGCACTTATCATTCAGGAAAATGGCTTGTGGAACTGAAGTAGCAGTGTTAAAGAAAGCTAAATAAATACTGATGAAAAAGATCATGATCGGAAGAACAAGCTGCATGCATGGTAACATGGTTTGCAAATCCCACGCTATCTTCTGTTTCTTGGCGTATGCAATACTGCTGCTGTTGCTCTGCTAGGGATACACTAACATATGAGAATCCAATCAGCGATGGATCAGAAACTCCTGTTTCGGCAAAGGAAAATTTGAACTTGGATTCTTTAATTACCCTCTTCAGCTTCACCTACAGGAAGCGCTGGCGCTGATAGCAGATATGTTGGCATACGGAACCGCGAGCTGAGTCCGAGGACAGTGGTATCTGGTATGGGTTGCCAACAGAGAAAGAAACTCTCTTACGATTAATATATTTTCTCTATGGCATTACCAATGATATATATTTGTCGTAGACGTAAATAATACATCATTCGTCCATTATATAGTTGTCATGTAGGATTGCGCTACATGACATTGCATGTGCGTGTCAGAGCGCTTTTAATCGATTGGGTGACGAAATGATCTTAGATTAATAATGCATGGTAACATAGTTATTAAATTAGCTAAATTTTTTGTTTAGAAAACTTATCCTCACTCGAGAATCGTTTTATGATTTACCCCTCTCGTCCTAATGCTACTTTGTACTAGAACAAAAGATGTTAAAACTGATAACATGTTTACTTACTTGAAATGAGAGAAGTCATGAATAAGGAAAGTCACGAAATAGCAGTTGGAGTAACTACTCTCTCTCTCATCAATCATATCTCTACTTATTCAGGTATTATATTATGAATTATAATGTCGGCATACAAATTCCAAAAAAAATTTCAGATCTCATCATCATTCAAGTACGTAAACATGCTTAATCCAATGCTGGCCAAATACTTGTAATTCTCATATATCAGATCAACTGAAGGCTCTCAATTCTCACGGATTTCAGGTTAGGTTTTATATGTGGCTGTAGCTGCCGCTGACTGGTTGCGCTGCGACCGCTGTCATTGGCAATTTCAGAGCACTTGGTTCGTCTTCAGGAATGAGAGCATCCTCCAAATTTAAAAAAATAGTAAATAAAAAAAACCCTCTAGTAAGCTTCTCTCTCTTTTCCCAAAATTAAAGGTTTTGGATGGATTCCAAAAGCTTCACCTTTTTGTGTCATAATATTATTAAAATAACTAAGCGTAAACAAGAAAATGGATTTGGATCCTTGCCGGATCTCCTCTTTAGGAATCATAGGAATCAACGAACACGGATCGTTAATAAAAAATCATGCGGTCATAATTTTTTTTTTTTTTTTATATTTTTCACACAAAACGATGATGCTTTACTTTTAAAAATATAAAATGCATTTAATTGAAACCACATGATTTTTAATCAACGATCCGGGTTCGTTGATCCCTAAAATTCCCAAGAAGAGGATCCGGTGAGGATCCAAATCCCAAGAAAATAATGCAGGTTGATTTTGGTCTTCATGGGTCTCTATCATCATATTATTATTAAAGTATAATTGGGAGAAAAACGAAAAAGTGGCAATCGTTTGTTTCTACAAAAAAAAATCTTAGGTCCGGGCATCGAATGCTCCGACCAGTATCGAGGTCAGGAAAAGGCATAAAATTTGAAAAAGTAAAAGGTTCTAGAAAAATGTTGACAATCATTCAAGGTCTATGTCTACAGTATGCAGAAAAATTAGACAATAATTCATTCAACTAAGTGACTTCGCTTTATGGAAAACTATCGAAATTATTCGGATCTTTACTAACCGGAAAGTTCAAATGAGGATTTGGACCATCCAAAATATTCGAATGAGGATTTGAACTAAAAGAAATATTTGAAGGTGGATATAAGCACAATTTTTTTATAGTATAATTCTTTTACGGGATTGTATGATGAGCAAAGTTCTAAAAGACACAAGGTTCTGACATATAATATATAAAAAAAATTGATAGACTTTCCTTAATATTTTGGTGAATATGATAGTATGAGATAAATGTTCAATGATTACACGCTTGTAATACTTTATGAAATGCTTTTTTGAAACTCGTATTTATTTATAGTGAATTTTAAGAGGAATAATTGTGTCCAACACGTGACCTAAAAATTTAAAATAACCAAGCTGAAATATGAATATAGCGTGCGCAGTAGCAACGCCAACAACCTTCATTCAAGCATTTTGTTGAACAACTTTCATACATGTTTAGAAGGGCGGATTCCCAATTTTTATGGGGATTTCGGACGACCGTAGGGCAACCGCCCCTCTTTGCTCTCGTGTAGCTTCGTCTATGACTCAAATGTATTAATATTTAAATTTAAATTTTTATATTTTTAAATAAAAACGATTTAAACATCAAGAACATCGAATACTTCAAAGCACTCAAAAAAATTCCTTGTTTTCATTTTTCATACATAGAAACCCGCGTAAGCCCATGTCTTAATTCTTCCTCACAAAAGGACGAAGAAAAAGTGAGGGTAAGGGGGCCAAATGAAAAAGAAGAAGATGACATGAGTGAGATTATACAATTTCTTTCTTACCCTCCTCCCTTGACTTTGCTTTTGCTTTCCCAATAATTCAATCTGGTCTCTGATTAAGAGCCTTTCAAATTAAATTTTACTGTAGCAATGTGCTCTTAGTTACAGCAAAAACATTGTATTTTGCAGAGAAACTTACTTATAGCGGGATCTTGTTGTGCTAGATTGCCAGTATTCTAAGAAAATCTTACGTTGTTAGACATTTTAACTTTCTCACATGACAGTGAATGATTATCTCAAATACAACCAAAATAATTTCCATTGCATGGAAGTCTCCTTAGAAATTTTCACTCAAATCAACCAATAATTTATTGGCACACTGCTCACAGCTTGCAAAGGTAACATGTAGCTATCTAGGGGTACTTTTGAGAATATGGAGAACAGCATCAGGACATGTGAATATCTAGAGCCAGACACTAATTAACTTAATCACTAGTTTTTCCACTGTATGCCTCCTAGAATTATGACAAATGATCTAGCTTAGGTACTTGTATCATTATGGTGATCCAAAGCAAGATCAGGAAGTTAATCATCATTAGCTGGTCTGCTAATCACATGTTCTTCTGTATGTTCTTTCTCTACTCTTTCTTGTTATGCACTTGTTTTCTGTGTTGCATTGCTAAAGATACCATGACAATTGGCAGCTTGATTAGTGATGATCAAGGTGATACTATAGTTTCATCAAGAGAGAAATTCGAACTCGGGTTTTTCACTCCTAATGGAAGCTCTGAGAGTAGAAGATATGTTGGAATATGGTACTATGGATCGAATCCGAAAACAGTTGTGTGGGTTGCCAATAGGGACAAGCCGCTTTCAGATGCTCATGGTGTTTTTGGTATTGCAGAAGATGGAAACCTTAAGGTTTTGGATGGCGGCGGTAAAATGTACTGGTCTACAAGTCTTGAGAGATCATCTTCAGACAGGGCTGCGAAGCTCATGGACTCTGGGAATCTTGTTGTTGTGAGCAATGAAGATCAAGGGAGAATTCTTTGGCAGAGTTTCGAAAATCCAACCGACACATTTCTTCCTGGCATGAAAATGAATGAAAATTTAGTACTTACTTCATGGACAAGTAATGTTGATCCTGCAACCGGGAATTTCACATTTCAGCAGGATAAAGAGGGAACGAACCAATTTGTTATCTGGAAAAGATCGGTGAGGTACTGGAAAAGCGAAGTTTCTGGAAATTTCATTAGTTCAGATGAGATGGCTCCTGCAGTTCTTTACATGCTATCAAATTTCACCTCTAACCCGGTCCGTAATGACTTTTTGCCACATCTCACGCCATCTCTGTACAATGCTACGAGAGTAGTTATGAGTTCTTCGGGCCAAATTCGGTATCTGTTGTGGGATTATGAGAAGGTTTGGTCTTTGATCTGGTCAGATCCTAGAGATGGTTGCAGCGTGTACAATACATGCGGTAATTTTGGGAGTTGCAATAGCCAAAATGGTTTGGTTTGCAAGTGCTTACCTGGTTTTAAGCCTACTTCGCCGGATAATTGGAACAATGGAGATTATTCAGCTGGTTGTGTCAGGAAATCAACAATTTGCGGCAACAATGCTGTGAGTGACACGTTCTTGAGTTTAAAGATGATGAAGGTGGGAAACCCCGATTCGCAATTTAATGCCAAAAGTGAGATGGAATGCAAAACAGAGTGCCTTAACAACTGCCAGTGCCAAGCTTATTCATATGAGGAGGTTGACATCACACGAAAGGGTGGGAGTAGTGGTTCTACATGCTGGATTTGGTCAGAGGATGTTAGAAATCTTCAGGAGGAGTATGACAGTGGCCAGAACCTCCAGGTTCGTGTGGCAGTTTCGGATATAGGTATGATTCTTATACAAAAATGCTGGAATTTCTATATGTTCATCTAGCAGTTCCAAATGTTCTTTGTTAGAAAATCATGAAAGCTCAACATTTTCTCTGTACTGTTTTTAAATTTCAAGGAATTATACTTTTGCAGAATCAACATCAAGGAATTGCGAAACTTGTGGTACAAACCTGATCCCTTATCCCCTGAGCACTGGACCAAAATGTGGTGATCTTGCGTACTATAGTTTTAAATGCAACACCGCCGTGGGCCAGGTTAGCTTTGAGGCACCCAGTGGCACCTACAAAGTCACAAGCATCAATCCGGCTACACGAAAATTTGTCATCCAAGCCAAAAATGCAGATAACTGCAGAAATCAAAATTTCCTACAGCTCAATCAATCATCTCCCTTTCATGTGATCAACAAGTGCAATGCTGAATCGTCCGAATTAAGTTCTGATTTCTCATTTAAAGGAGGACATGAAGTTCAAATTTCTTGGGATCCACCATTAGAACCACTTTGTTCTTCATATACTGACTGCAAGGACTGGCCCCGGTCTACTTGTAACACTACCAAAGAGGGGATGAAAAGGTGCCTCTGCACTGCGAACTCTAAATGGGATAGCTTGAGCTTGAATTGTACTCAAGGTAAAATATTTACACAATGTTTGACTACAAGTTTTTAAATTTCAGAAGATAGTGATTTCCTTTTCTTGTCTATTTTTTCGCAGAAGTTGGTAACGGTAAGAAAATTGGTGAGCAACGAAAAAAGACCTTGGCTCTAATAGTTGTAGTATCTTTTATAAGTGTAGCTGTTCTGGGTATTCTCTCAAGTACCTTCATTTATGCTTACTTATGGAGAAGAAGACAGGTCAAGCGACAAGGTAACTAGAATATATCCACCACATGATTTACGTTATTTTCATTAGTATGAATTTTTGGATTTTGATGGAGTTGTGTTTGAATTCAGAAAGCAGGGAAAGCGTTCAAAAGAATTCGGTGCTTCACTTTTATGACAGTGGGAGAAAAGTTAAAAGTTTTATCGAATCAGGCCGATCTAAAGATGATGATACAGAAGGCTTTGATGTACCATTTTTTGATTTGGAAAGCATACTGGTTGCTACAAATTACTTCTCCAATGCGAACAAACTTGGACAAGGCGGCTTTGGCCCTGTTTACAAGGTACCATCCCTTTATTAGATACATGTCATGGTTTAAATCAACTGGTTTTTGGTAAACACTGGACTTTATCTGTATTGTACTATCAGGGTAATCTTCCCGGGGGACAAGAAATCGCGGTCAAGAGGCTCTCAAGATGTTCGGGACAAGGCTTAGAGGAATTCAAGAATGAGGTTTTGTTGATTGCCAAACTCCAACATCGAAACCTGGTTCAACTTTTGGGCTATTGTGTCGAGGGAGATGAAAAGATGTTAGTCTATGAATATATGGCTAACAAAAGCTTGGACTCATTCATATTTGGTTAGCCTCTAATTTTAATTCTCGAGTTTTTCTTTTGCAAATCCCTATCTATACTGATTGACCGAAACTAACTTACATGTAATGCTTCTTGGATGGAAAATAATACCACGCAAAGATCGAAAACTATGTGTGTCGTTAAACTGGGATATGCGCTTCAATATCATTTTGGGAATTGCTCGGGGTCTGCTTTATCTTCACCAAGATTCTAGGTTAAGGATTATTCATAGAGACCTGAAAACCAGCAACATTCTTCTGGGCGAGGAGATGAATCCCAAAATCTCCGACTTTGGTTTGGCTAGGATCTTCGGAGGCAACGAAACTTCAGCAAACACCAACAGAGTAGTTGGAACATAGTAAGTTTAAGTATATGCCATTTAACCTTTTCATCACAAGTATATGAGTTCACTAAATCAATTTATATTTCTTGTATTGCAGTGGCTATATGTCTCCAGAGTATGCATTAGATGGATTATTTTCAGTAAAATCCGATGTTTTCAGCTTCGGTGTAGTTGTAATTGAGGTCATCAGTGGGAAAAGGAACACCGGGTTTTTTCAGCAGGAAAAATCTTTGAGTCTTCTAGGCTATGTGAGTGCTTGAAACATTTCATACACCAAATCTTATATTATCATCCTCAAAATATTACGCCTTACATTTTGTTAATTGATACACCAGGCATGGCACTTGTGGAAAGAAGAGAAGGCATTGGATTTACTCGAGCAGACACTGCATCAAAGCTGCAACCAGGACGAGTACTTAAAATGTGTCAACGTAGGGCTCTTATGCGTACAAGAAGACCCGGGTGATCGCCCAACCATGTCACAAGTAGTTTTCATGCTAGGCAGTGAAACTGCAACGATTCCAATCCCTAAACAACCTGCCTTTATTGTTAGGCGGTGCCCTTCTAGAAGTAGCCCACCTTCTTCCTCAAGCAAACCAGAAACATTTTCTAACAATGAGTTAACCATCACTTTAGAAGATGGTCGGTAGCCAAAGCAGTTTCTGTGCGTCTTCTCTTTATCTTACGTTGTTATCATGTTATGACGAGTGCATCAACATTGGAATTCATGATGTTTTTCTATTTGCATTCTTTGCTTATAATCCGGTTATGTGTATGTTGTCTGTGCTGTAATATCTATAAATTACAGCAATAACTTTTGGAGCTCCCAAACATTTTGTGATCTCAGATGTGTCGATATAAATAGCAGCGACTCATTATTTCAATGTGGAATCAGGTGGTAGAAGGGAGGCATTTATCCTTTCTCAGTCTCTGAATGGAGTGCCTCTTTCTTTGTCTAGTTTTGTTACTCATATATGTTGTCTTGCCACTTTGTGCCAGCAAAGAAAATTTAGTACCCGGAAAATATATCGGTGCAAACCAGACCTTGGTTTCTCCCATGGGGACCTTTTCATTAGGCTTCTTCAGTCCTGAAAATTCTACCAAACACCTCCTTGGTATATGGTACAACAAAATCCCAAAGGCACCGATGGTATGGGTTGCTAACAGAGAATTCCCACTTAATTCACTGAGATTTTTCATGATCCACGGTGATGGGAATCTCGTGGTGTTGGATTCCATGGTGGGACTAGAAAATTTTTCTGGTCATCTAATACATCAGTACCTGCTTCTGCAGTGAATGCCACAACGGGTTCACTAATGAATACTGGAAATCTTGTTCTGAGATTCGGAGAAGACAGTCTGTGGCAGAGCTTTGATCATCCCTTCGATACATATTTGCTCAGCACGAAGCTTAATGATATTAGCTGCTACAAACAACTTGCTAATAAACTCAGGGAGGGAGGATTTGGCTCCATTTACAAGGTGAGAGTAATAAGGGTAAAACTGTAAACAGATATGTTTCTTAGAGGTTGTTATAAGGAGGTTATGGTAGTTTGTAATTAGTGAGTGATTAGTTGGATAAAGATGTGATTAGATAGTTAGCTAAAGCTAGTGAGTCACTAGTATATATATATACATCAATGTGTGACTTTATTGTTTGATGAAATGAAAGAATAATTTCTTCATTATGGTATCTCTCGCCTAAGTCCTACGACACTCGATCCTTCCCTTCTGCTTCCTGCTTCTCCTTTCTTCGAATCTTCAAACCCTAGAAACCACCATGGCTGGCTCTCCTTCTTTTGAATCTGCTTCCCCCGTTCATCCAATTCCGATGAATTCTTGCTCTAATTCTTCACTCTCCTCGGAAACATCATCGATTACAATCCAGAATATTGGATCTATGGTGCCAATCAAGCTCACAACGACGAACTATCTCACCTGGAGTGCTCTGTTCGCTCCCATCTTTCGCCGGTATAATCTCACTAGAATCATTAATGGCATGATGTGTGCTCTATCGAAATATCTTCTTGACTCATCTGGTAATCGAACCTCTACTCTGAATCCTCAGTATGTTACTTGGTTTGAAAATGATTAGAATATCTTGATTTGGATAAATTCTACACTATCGGATACCTTAATTCCGTACACTGTTGGAGTCAATTCGGCCTGTGAGCTTTGGTCCAAATTGGAATCGCGACTTGCAACTGCATCGCATTCGCACATTCACGAGCTTCGTTCTCGTCTTCGTAGCATCACGAAGGGTGATTCTACGGCTGCGCTCTATCTTCAACAAATTGAAGAAATCGCAGATGCTTTTGCAAATGCTGGAGCTCCAATCGAAGATTATGAGTTGATTTATGTAATTTTACATGGTTTGCCTTCTGAGTATGAATTTTTCATTGATACGATCCAATTTCGCCTTGGTTCAACCATCATTGATGAACTTCATGGGCTGCTTTTGAGTAAGGAGCTTCAATTGACTGCTTGTAAGAAAACCTTATCGTTTGCCCCAATTCAAGCATTTAATTCCTCTGCTGGTCTTCTTCCAACACTGCCTAGTGATTTTGGTGCTCAAGCATTCTTTACTTAGAACAAATCTCATTCGCACTCTTATGGTCCTCAAAATCGTGGCAACTTTTCTCAACCAAGAAATTACAACAATCGTGGACCATAGAGGAACAATCAAGGGTTTCAGGGCAATCAAAGATTCAATCGTGGCAATCAGGGTAATCATCGTTACAATCGTGGTTCCCGTTCTCAGTACAACAATTCTACTAGAAGGATCTCTTGTCAAATTTTCCGTCAATTGGATCATGAAGCTGTTGAGTGCCCTTATCGCATGAATGATGAATCCTACCTTTGGTAACAAGAATTCTTAAATTGTCTATCATGCATCTACAACTCCTACTTGGCTTCTTGATTCTGGTGCTAGCTCACACATGACTCATTCCTACACGAATTTGTAGAATCCTGAGGTATACACTGGACCTGAGCAAGTGTATATTGGTGATGGCAAAGGTTTGCCCATACTCAATTCTGGTTCCTCTACACTTAATACTGGTTCTCATTGATTTGATCTTAAAAATGTCTTGCATGTTCATCATTTTAAGCAAGATTTGATTTTTGCCAATCGTTTTATACTTGATAATTGGTGTTCTATTCATTTGTATCATTTTCACTTCATTGTGAAGGACCTTTCTTCGGAGAAAACGCTCTTTAAAGGTCCTGTGAGAGCTGGATTCTATCCATTGCATGCATCCTTTATTGTTGGTAATCAACATGCATTTGCAACATATGCTAAAGCCTTACAGCATAATTGGCATAAAAGATTGGGTCACTCTGCACTCAAAATACTAAATAAACCAGTCTCCAAATCCTGTATTTTAGTTTCAAGTGCTTTAAATAAATCTGTGTGCTCTAGTTGTGCTTTAGGCAAGTGTTCAAAACTATCTTTTGCTTTTATTCCTTGTGCATCAAGTAGGCCTCTGGAGCTTCTGCACACTGATGTATGGGGTCATGCACCACTCATTTCTGTTAATGGATATCGATATTACACATTTTTGTTGATGACTACACAAAGTATACTTGGTTATTTCTTCTTAAATCCAAATCTGATGTCTTTGATACATTTGTGCAATTCAAAGTGTTGGTGGAAAATTTACTTAATGCTAAAATTGTTACTTTGAGATATGATTATGGTGGGGAATTTCTTAGTCTCAAGTTTATCAAGTTTCTTCAAGAGCATGGCATTTCACATCAGCTAAGCTGCCCTTACATACTTGAGCAAAATGCTTGTGCTGAGCGTAAACATAGGCATTTAGTTGAAACTGCTAGAACTCTCCTAGCAGCCTCTAAGGTTTCTCATTCATATTGGGTTGAAGCTTTTGCCACAGCTATCTATCTCATCAATAGGGTGCCAACAACCACCAGATTATCTCCTTGGGAATTACTGTTTCACAGATCTCCAGATTACACCTCTTTGAAAATCTTGGGATATAGATGTTTCCCATGGTTGAAATCTTATGCAAATTCCAAGCTTGATCCCAAAAGCAAGGAATGTGTCTTTTTGGGGTACAATTTGAATCACAAAGGCTACAAATGCCTTGATTCTCACACTGGCATAGTGTATCTTTCGAGGCATGTGACTTTTGGTGAAGATACATTTCCCTTTGCTCAAAAGGATCATCTTCAGCAATCAAGTTCCAGTTCTAGTTCTTCTCAATTGCAGCAATCCAATCCCATTCCAACCACATTGATTTTTCCCATTATATCTCAGCCTTCTCAATCTACATCTCTTACCTTACCTATAACTCTACCTTCACCCTCTTCTATTCATACATCATCATCTCTTCTTGTACCCTTCTCTACTACTTTACCTACCTCTCCTCTCATTTCCGTCACTAATACACTTTCTGAACCCTGAATACCTCTCAATACTCATCCCATGCAAACCAGATCCAAATCTGGTATTTTTAAACCTAAACCACTCTTGGCAACCAAGCATCCTATCTCTTCTGATTTATCTCCAGATTATACACCATCCACCTATCTTCAAGCATTAAAACACTCCCATTGGAGACAAGCAATGCAGGAAGAGTTCAATGCTCTCATTCAAACTGGCACTTGGTTTCTAGTTCCTGCCAATCCCACTTAGAACTTATTTGGTGCAAAATGGGTGTTTAGAATCAAAAGAAAACTAGATGGTACCATTGATAGGTATAAAGCTAGGCTTGTTGCCAAAGGTTTCAATCAACAGCAAGGTCTGGAGTATACTGAGACATTTAGTCCAGTTGCTAAGCCTGTCACTATTAGGCTTCTTCTCACTTTGGCTGCTAAGTTTGATTGGTTTCTCAATCAACTTAATGTTAGCAATGCCTTTCTGCATGGTAACTTGACAGAATATGTGTTCATGATCTAACCACCAGGATTTGAAGACCCTACCAAGCAAAATTATGTCTGTCATCTTGACAAGTCTTTGTATGGACTAAAGCAAGCCCTTAGGGCTTAGTATGAGAAGTTGACCACTGCATTGAAGTCTCTGGGTTTCTCAGGTTCACTAAATGACCATTCCTTATTTGTAAAGAAGGCTCCTGCATTGGTTTTCATTTTGGTCTATGTTGATGATATTATTGTTATTGGACCAAATGCTCAACTCTGTTAAGCAATTATTTTTTTGCTCAGTTCTTTATTTCCTGTCAAAGATCTCGGTCATCTTCATTAATTTCTTAGTATTGAAGTCAAGAGGTCATCATCTTGTATGCTTCTCTCTCAGACCAAGTATATTCTTGATATACTTTCCAAGGCACATATGGAAGGATCAAAACCTTGTGTTACCCCACCCAGTACAACCAAATTGGATCATGAATCTTATATGCTTGATAATCCTGAAGAATATAGGTCCTTGGTTGGTGGTTTGCAATACTTAACCTGGACACGGCCAGATTTATCTTAGGCAGTGAATTTGGTCTGTCAATTCATGCAAAGCCTGAGACAAGCTCATTTTTAGGCAGTCAAACACATTCTTAGATATCTAAAGGGCACTATGTCCATTGGTTTGTGGTTTCTCAAGTGTTCTAAGTTTCTTACTCTCACTGCTTTCTCTGATGCCAATTGGGCAGGTTGTAGTATTGATCGATGTTCCATTGGGGGGTTTTGTGTCTATTTGGGAGACTCACTTATTAGCTGGTGTGCAAAGAAACAATATACTAAGGCTTGGTCATCGACATAAGCTGAATATCGATTACTTGCTAACATTGCAGCTGAACTGACATGGATATGCAAACTATTGGTTGATGTTGGTCTTGTTCTTCCTTTTTCCGCTCATATTTGGTGTGATAACATTTATGCCATTTCTTTGGCTAGAAATCCAATCTTCCATAACAGA